TAAAAAAAAAACGACGCCGAGAGGTTTGGGTCAGGACGGAAAAAGGAGTTAGAAAGGAATTTAATACGGAATTTCAAGGGTTAGACAGGAATTGTTTTTTTTTTCTGTGTTGTTTTTTTTGGTTTTGTTTTTTTTTATTTACGACGCCGAGAGGTCTGGGCCAGGAAGGAAAAAAAGGAGTTAGAAAGGAATTCAATAAGGAATTTCAGGAGTTAGAAAGGATTTTGTTTTTTGCTGGGTTGTTTTTTTGTGTTCTGTTTTTTACGACGCCGATAGGTCTGAGCCAGGAAGGAAAAAGGAGTTGGAAAGGAATTTAATACGGAATTTCAAGGGTTAGAAAGGAATTTCGTTTTTTGGGGGTCTGCTTTTTGTTTTGTTTTTTACGACGCCGAGCGGTCTGGGCCAGGAAGGAAAAGGGAGTTAGAACGGAATTTATTAAGGAATTTCAAGAGTTAGAAAGGAATTTTGTTTTTTTTTCTCCTGCCCCAGACCTCTCGGCGTCGTAGAAAAACAAAACAAAAAACAACACCGAAAAACGAAATTCCTTTCTAACTCTTGATATTCCTTATTAAATTCCTTTCTAACTCCTTTTTTTCCTTCCTGGCCCAGACTTCTCGGCGTCGTAAAAACAAAACAGACCAACCACCAAAACGAAATTCCTTTCTAACTCTTGAAATTCCTTATTAAATTCCTTGTTAACTCCTTTTTCCTTCCTGGCCCAGACCTGTCGGCGTCGGAAAAAAAACAGAACAAAACACAGCCCCCCCAAAAACGAAATTCCTTTCTCGCTTCCGAAATTCCTTATTAAGTTCCTTTCTAACCCCTTTTTTCCTTCCTGCCCCAGACCTCTCGGCGTCGTGAAAAAAAAACTACCAAAAACGAAATTCCTTTCTAACTCTTGAAATTCCTTATTGAATTCCTTTCTAACTCCTTTTTCCTTCCTGGCCCAGACCTCTCGGCGTCGTGGAAAACAAAAAACAGAACAAAAAAACAACACCAAAAACGAAATTTCTTTTTAACTCTGGAAATTCCTCATTAAATTCCTTTCTAACTCCTTTTTTCCTTCCTGGCCCAGACCTCTCGACGCGTAAAAAAAAAATCAGAAAACAGCCCCAAAAAACGAAATTCCTTTCTAACTCTTGAAATTTCTTATTCAATTCCCTTCTAATTCATTTTTCCTTCCTGGCCCAGACCTCTCGGCGTCGTAAAAAAACAAAACAAAACAATTTCAAAAAAACGAAATTCCTTTCTAACTCTTGGAAATCCTTATTAAATTCCTTTCTAATTCCTTTTCCTTCCTGGCCCAGACCTCTCGGCGTCGTAAAAAAACAAAACAAAAAAAAACACCACCACAGACGAAATTCCTTTCTAACTCTTGAAATTCCTTAGTACATTCATTTCTAACTCCTTTTTCCTGCCTGGCCCAAACCTCTCGGCGTTGTAAAAATGAAACAAAAAACAACCCCAAAAATCAAAATTTCTTTCTAACTCTTGAAATTCCTTGATAAATTCCTTTCTAACTCCTTTTTTCCTTCCTGGCCCTGACCTCCCGGCGTCGTAAAAAACAAAACAAAAAACAGCCACCAAAAATGAATTCCTTTCTAACTCTTGAAATTCCTTATTAAATTCCTTTCTAACTCCTTTTTCCTTCCTGGCCCAGACCTCTCGGTGTCGTTTTTAAAAAACAAAACAAAAATAATCCAACAAAGCGAAATTCCTTTCTAACTCTTGATATTCCTTATTAAATTCCTTTCTAACTCCTTTTTCTTTCCTGGCCCAGACCTCTCGGCGTCGTTAAAAAAAAATCCAAACAACGAAATTCCTTCCTAACTCTTGAAATTCCTTATTAAATTCCTTTCTAACTCCTTTTTCCTTCCTGGCCCAGACCTCTCGGCGTCGTAAAAAACAAAACAAAAAACCACCACCAAAGACGAAATTCCTTTCTAACTCTTGAAATTCCTGATTAAATTCATTTCTAACTCCTTTTTCCTTCCTGGCCCAGACCTCCCGGCGTCGTTTCTTTTTTGTTTAAAAACAACACCCAAAACGAAATTCCCTTCTAATTCTGGAAATTCCTTATCAATTTCCTTTCTAACTCCTTTTTTTCCTTCCTGGCCCAGGCATCTCGGCGTCGTTAAAAAACAAAAAAAAAACGACCCCAACAACGAAATTCCTTTCTAACTCTTGAAATTCCTTATCACATTCCTTTCTAACTCCTTTTTCTTCCCCGGCCCAGACCTCCTGGCGTCGTAAAAAAAAACAAATTTAACGCAAAAAACTGAATTCCTTTCTAACTTTTGAAATCCCTTATCAAATTCCTTTCTAACTCCTTTTTCCTTCCTGGCCCAGACCTCCCGGCGTCGTAGAAAAAAAAACAGAAGAAAACGCCGCGCGAAAGCTTCGTCGCAGCTACAGCTACAGCTACAGCTACAGCATTAATTGCTCAGCGAATTATTTACTGTAGCACCCTACAGTACAGCTACAGCATTAATTGCTCAGCGAATTATTTCTGTTAGGGGAAACAATCAATGGTAGGCCAAGAGCAACTCCACCGCGGAATGGAAGGCGCGGCCCCTGCGCGACGCTGCTGGCAGGCGCGTCCGGGAGATGGTGCTCTCGAAGGTGCGGCCGGGCGACAGGCAGAAGTCTCTCGAGCAGCAGCGGAGTCGCGTGCGGGTCCTCATGAACGAAGAGGCTCGCTGATCATTGCAGCGTGCTGGACTTTCTTTCGGCGCCGTGTGCGGCCTTGCCGAGAGCCGCGTGGCCTCGGAGTGCAACTGAAAGAAGTCAGGAGGCAAACAAAAACACACAGACACAATTACCTCGTCGACTCCCTAGAGAATATGGGAAAATGTGAGAAGCGGGGGGGGGGGAAGACAAAAACCCAGAAAATATAGAAATATGGGGAATCAGTTTATTTGTGTGTATTCATTTGTGTGTCCCAGGGCCCCTTCAACAAGCCAGGTCGCACTTTTGGTCAGTGCCCCATCTTCATCCATTTGGGGAGATTTCCCGCGGCTGTCCCCGACTGCGCAGCTCGGCCTGGTCGCGGACCTCAGCGCGAAACGCGAACGCTGCAACGGCGTGCTCGCGGCGCCGCCCGCCCACGAGATCCGGGATGTCCTCGAGGCCCTCGTGAACACCTCCTACATTGTCGAGCTCTTCGGTGCCGAGCGCGTCGCGAAATGCGATCTGCTCGCCGCTTCCTTGGACTGCGTTCGCAGGGGCGTTCGGGCCCCCGACCCGGTCGGGGGCCCGAGCTGGATTCGCGACGCGCGCAGAAATACTTCCTCAACGGTTGGGTGTGGCTGGGCACGGGGGGCCTCTGCCTGGCCCGCTGGACCGCCGCGCGGGCGCGGCGCGACGCCCGCGTGCTCGAAGCGCCGCTGGTCGTGCCGCGTGCCGCCGGCACGCGTCAGGCCATTCCCGTCTGGGACAATGACCCGTACTCCGGGTGGCCGAACGCGGCCAACGTCCACCAGGCGGGCCGAAGTCGCGGCGCGCTCCCCGCCCGCGTGGGGATGCGCTCTCGGTTCGCTGGCAAGTCCAATGGAGAGTGCGGTCTCATCCAGGGGCAGCGGGCTACGATCGCCGATCTCATCTCTGGCGGAGACGACCAGCGGGGCCACGAAACACGAGGCAGGGCGAGGTCTTCAGGCCGCAGAGAACGCTGGCGGGGATTTAGTTGCGGGTGGGCGACTTCGCGCTGGCCCCCCCCTGGGAACGCCTCTCCCATCGCTTCGGCCACCCGGGAACAACGGCTGCCGTCAAGGCCAAGATCGCTCGCGCCCTCTTCTGCGTGCCTCTGAGTGAGACATCCTTCACGTGGGAAGCCTCTCCCCAGTGGCGAACAGGCGGGGCCCGCTTCGGCTCCGTGCTCTCGCGCGCCCACTACCAGACGGCGATTGTCTTTCAGGGGCCGACGGTTCGCGCCACGGTGAGCAGCGGCTGTGCGCGCCAGGAGCCCTGGGCCCTGGGCCCAACGCGGCACTGATGACGACGCATGGTGGCTGAACCTCTACGCGATGTTCTCTTGCGCCGCCCGGATGGCCGACGTGCTCCTAGCGCGGTCGCCCCCTCTCGATCTCCTGCAGAAGGGGCCTGCCGAAGGCGGTGAAGGCGGCCCTCCGCTGTTTCGAGCACGGTGAGAAGGCGATGGTCGCAGTGGCGCTTCGGGATGACGGGGCCGCCAGAATAGCGGCCCGCGCCTGCCGTGGACGGCCACCCTGGAGCTTGCTTCGAAGAGCAGCCAGACTCTATTCCAGCGGCACTGGCTTCCTCTGCGCGCTTGAGGCTCTGCGCTATCAGCCCAAAGCCAAGTGTGGATGGCGTCGTTTTTGAGGCCCCCTTTCGTGCGCCCCCAGCATGCGCGCCGTCCCGCGCCTGGCGCGGCCCGATGCCAAGTGCGGGCGGTCGCTTTTGTTGCAGCCTGCATTTGCTTGTGAGCAGCCAGCTCTGCAAGTGGGACCTCGCGCAGAACAATCTCCAAGGTCTCCATGATTTCTCTGATGTCTCCAGGCCCGCGTGTTCGTGAGTTGTTGTCGTTGTCTTCGTCGTTGTCGTCGTCGTCGCTGTCTCCCATCGTGGCCGCCGCCGTCGTCGTCGGCCCGCCCGTCGCCCGCGGGGGCTCGCCCTCGCAGCCGTTCGCGCGCGGCTGGACATGACGCGGGGATCCCCGCACCGCGCATATATATATATATATAACAATAGAATGTGTATATACACATATATATATATATATATATATATATATATATATATATATGTGTGTACACACACATATATATACATATATATATATGTATGCGTATACATTTATGTATATATGTATGATTGCATCTATGTATATTAACCAACATATGGTTTTTGTTTGTGACGCGAGCCTGTCTGGGAAAAGGGGTCTGGAAGAGGAGGCGGGAGGATGATGATGGTGGAGTTGCCAGGGGCCCGCAGCTCAGGCAGCCAAGCCGCGGCGGACGGCGCTTGTCTGCCCTGCCCGGCGGCGCCGTGCCCCGCCGCGGAGACCCCGGAGCCCGCGGCGGGCCCCTGCGCCCCCGGCGTGCTGCCGGCGCACTTCTGGCTGGCCGCGCTGTGGATGGCGCTCGCCGCGCCCTCGGCCTTCGGGCGCCTCCAGTTGGCTACGCGTAATAATTGCTGGGCCTGTTTCCCACCACCACCACCATAAGTTGGAGGAGGGGGGGTCCTCCTCCTCCTTCTCCTGCTCCTCCTCCTCCTCCTCCTCCTCCTCCTCCTCCTCGTTCTCCTTCCCCCCCTCCAACACATGGTGGTGGTGGTGGTGGTGGTGGAAAACAGGACCATCAAGAATGGCCTTTCGCTGGGGTGGCCTTCGGTGCGGGCACGCATGGGTCCCACCAGCAATAGCTGGCGCGCTTGGATTGCTTGGATTTGGCCTCCCCCGCGGCCCTGCACAGCCGCGCAGTATGGTCAGTCTTGCGTGCAGCCGGCTCCGAGGACGGAGGTGTTCTGCGGAGTCTCGGGGGAGAAAGGAGGGGGGGAAGCTTTGCAGCGAGGGTGGGAAGAAGGGTCCTTTATTATGGTTCAGGAGGGGCTTTGGCTTTCAGGCTGCTCCACGAATCTGGAACGGGGAACGCGCGTGTTCGTCGCGGCCGAGGCTCGCCGCGGCCAGATCAACGGCCTCGTTCCTCGTCTGGCGCTCCCCCGTGGTTGCAGGATGGCCGCAGGGCCCAAGGATTGCAAAAAACCCAGGATTGCAAAAAACCCGAGGATTGCAGAAGAACCCAGGATTGCAAAAATCCTGTTTTTTTTTTGCAATCCGAGGTTTCGCACAGCAGCGGCGCCTCGTCGTCCCGCCGCCTGCCCGGGGCGCCCCGAGCGTCCCGGGCGGCCCTCCCTGGCCCGCCCTGCGGCATGTCTTCTCCGAGCGCCTGGTCGCCTGGGTGAAGTGGGACCGTCCGGGCACCGTCGGCTGACACCTACTCCAGATTTCGTCATAAAAGGGAGGGGGTCTCAACCCTCCCAGACGAGAAGTTTTAGACCCCCCCCGTGGGAGAACCCTCCAAAACATCGTCCCCAGACCCCCAGGCCCTCCAGGATAGACCCCCCTCCCTTTATTACGAAATCTGGAGTAGACCTCCCGTGGATTGATGTGGGAATCCGTGGGCCCGGGAACTCATGCCCCCCTTTCCCAGGGCCGGCGTTTGCACCACGTCGTTTTCGCGTGGCCCCGGGGTCCAAGAGCGACCCCCAAAGGCCGGCGTGAAGGGAGCACGTCAGGGCTGAGATCTGTTGATCGTGCGTGCGACGTGAAGACAGAGCGCTGGTGGTGGGAGAGAGCAAAAGGTAGCACATGTGGCTGTCCATGCTCTGTCCTCCGCGCCCTGTCTTCTTCCCCACGTCCTAAGTGGGGTTATTGTTTTCTCTGGACTCTGGACACCCTCCGCGCAGGATCTCCTCACGCCCCTCTCTATCTCTCTTTCTCTCACTTTCTCTTCCTCTCTCTGGCCGTCATCATCATCAGTCATCATCACTCATCATCATCATCCTGCTCATCACTACCATCATCACCCCCGCACCCCTTCACTCACCATCATCATCATCATCATCATCATCATCATCATCATCATCATCATCATCATCATCATTTTCATCATCATCATCATCATCACCACCCATCGTCACTACTCATCATCATCCTCGTCATCGTCACCATCATCATAATCATCACACTCATTCACACTCACACCAGTATAATCCTCCTCATCAACAACATCATCATAATTCGATCAATCATCATCCTTACACCATCCTCATCCTCATCAACACCATCATCATCATTCTGTCACTCATCATCATCATCATCATCATCATCATCATCATCATCATCATCATCATCATCATCATCGTCATCATCACCACTCATCATCATCAGCATCATCCTCATCACCACTCGCTCACTCATCACTTCGTCATCACTCAGTCCCTAGTCTGAATATGGAGGACGCCTAGAGCGAGAGCCTCGTCTGTGAATGAATTGTGAGGAAGTCTCAGGCGGGACCCCCTTCAATATGGGTCCCGCACTTCATCGCACTTCATGTTGGTAATCCGAGTGGGTCATCCTCAAACCTGTAACTGTCGTAACTTTTGGGTTCCTGAGGCCTGAATTTGGAGGAAGTACCAAGCGGGAGCCAATAATTCGAGTGTATGCTCGCGTCGACGCCATTGCTACATACAATTGCAAATCCAAAGCCAGCTCGAAGGATCAACTATAAAGCCTCGCAGCTGCGGATTGGCTGATGGGTGATAGTGATGAGGGCAAGACGGCGAGGAGGGGGCTAAGAAGCAGGAGCAACCGCCCCTGGCCAGCAACGACTAGTTGTGATGATGGTGGTGATGATGCTGGTCGAGAGGAGACAGAAGACGTCGAGAACGAGAAGGGGATGACGAGGCCCCTGCCTCCCTCTCTCCTACTTGCTCCTCCTCCTCTCCCTCTATCCGCCTCTCCCGCCGCCTGAGATTCTTCGCCCGTTCAGGGAACCGCACCACGGGTCTCATGCATGGACGTCGCATCCACACCGGGGGCCACTGGCTGTCGGGGATCGTGTGCCCTCGCACCAAAAATCATAGATCTTCACACGGTTTTCGGCATGCTACTTGTGGACTGCTGAGCCAGGCCCAGACACTCCGACGTTTCGTTTTGTTTCGTTTACCGCGTTGGCCCCTGGAGGTCTCGACTCTTTTCCCCAGGGGCCGCTTCTTCATGTCCCGAGTCGTTTGTGGACGAGCCCGTGGCCTGGTTAGGGCCCCCGGAGGCCGAACAGAGCGAGAAACATATGCTTAAAAGTATAACGTGCAAGGAAGTCTTGGATGTCTGGGCAACAGGTCGAACGGGCCCTGTACCAGGGTCGCTTGCCCCAGGGCGCTCTGGAACGCTGGCGGAGCGCTCTGGCGCGCTTTGAAGCGGCCGCGGCGCCTGATACATCCGTCCTCCAGACCCGATGGACCTCAGAGGTCCCCGATTCGGCCCAGTCCGATGTCCCAGTCCTGGCTTCGTCTCATGCCCGATGCTCCTCAGGACTTGTGCTAGCCGAGGAGGAGGAGAGGAGGAGGAGGAGGAGGAGGAGGAGGAGGAGGAGGAGGAGGAGGAGGAGGAGGAGGAGGAGGAGGAGGAGGAGGAGGAGGAGGAGGGAGGAGGAGGAGGAGGAGGAGGAGGAGGACGCCGTGTGCTGCCCCCGCTCGGCTCCGCCGACGCAGCCTTCTGAAGAGGCCCGCACCTGCTCACTCCCCCCCCCCTGGGCTTGCCGCCGACCGGAACCTCCCCTGAGATCCGACGCGTGGCGAACAAGTGCAGCATCGCACACAAAACACGCCTGGAGCCATATGGCTGTGGACGACGATCCATGGAGAGGGGACATGTTGCCAAATACTTTCCAGATGTCTAAAAGATGATTCAACTATTTTTTAAATATGCTAAACACATGTTTGAAACTTTTTAAAATATGTTTTTGCACTTTTATGCACATGTTAAAAAATGATAGGACTGTTAGAGTGTCCATTGTCGTGGCATCCACAACCATAGGTCCCATCTTTCTGCGTCATCTTTCGAGGGTCCCAAGGCCTGGACTACACCAGAGAAAAGCCCCAATCAGTGGATGGTTTTCGCTGAGGAAACAGGAAATCGACTGGGAACCCGGGAGCCCGGGAACCCAGAACCCACCGAAATCGGCCCGGAACCAATAGTAGGGAACCCGGGAACCCAGCCTGCTACCAAAATCGGCGGGAAACTTTCGCCAAATTTTTCAATTTCCGCCAGGACCCCTTCAGTGCAAGCATTGATTGGAAGATCTTTCCGCGTCATCTTTCGAGGGTCCCAGGACCATGAAAAGGCGACAACGCCCGGCTCGAGAACTTCGAGACGCCAGGATCTCAGGGTCGGATGAGGAGGAGGAGGAGGAGGAGGAGGAGGAGGAGGAGGAGGAGGAGATGCAATGACCGCGACGACGAGGATAGCGACCACGACGCGAAGATCGAGGCCCGACTCGACGAAGCAATCTCACGACAACTCCAACGCAAACGACGACTGACCCGACGAAGTCAACGACAACTTCAGATGCAGCGACAACGATCACTTCAGATACTCTTGCACAACCGATTCAGTGGTCTTGCAGACGCGATGACCGACGCTGGCGACGACAACGACGACACACTCGACAGCCCCAACCAACAACAGCGTGAACACGTCCACGCTTTCCTGGCGAGGCCTGGAGCAAACTTCGGGACGGGCTCGAAGGGCGGAGGGGCAGGACGAGCAGTGCCCGCGCCTGCCAGGGGGGATGGTGAGGGGCAGGGGGGGGGGTAGGACGGCCACTACCCGCGCCCCCGCGGTCCGCCCTAGCTCGCCACCCCCACCACCCCCACGGCGGAGGAGGAGCTCGCCCGAACGCCTAAGAGGCGGAGCGCAGGACAGCTGCGACCTACCCCACCACGAGCAGAAGCAAGCACAAGGCCTGGGGTTCGCCCCCACCGAGGGCACTGTGACCCCTAGCCATCGCGGGACGAGGTGGGACAGCCACGAATCCCACTTGAAGTCGGTGCATGGAGGCCGAACAAGTGCGCCCACCACCAATACGCCACGACCAGCAACAAGCCGACCCCACACCGACCCGACGACAGGTTCGCCGACCCCGCGACCGCCACCCCCACGATCCCCACGACAAAGGAGGAGCTCGACCGACCCAACAACCAACAACCAGCACACACAACAAGCCGTTACACAACCCACCATTCACCAACCACGAAGGTCCAAGACCATTAACGTACAGCACCCGCTACCCACCTCGACCGATATGCAGGCAGTCCTGACAGCATCCAAGGGCACCGGTGGACTAGCACGCCAAAGAGCTGATCACAACTCCAGGCTAGCACGACACACGCGACCCGCAATGCTACCATTCCGACAACCACGGCGCCATCGAGGACTTCTGCCACGCGACAACGCCAGCAGCTCGACCTCGCACACAGCCAGAGCCATGCAACCATTTTGAGTCAAACCAAACAAGGACCAACCGAAACAACCTGTAACTCACCGCGATGCAACACAAGCAACCGCCCAAGAAAGACCCCAGC